AGACTAGGCATCGGAGTTCGATTCCTAAGTATGATGGTCCATTTGATGTAGTGAAACGAGTGGCCAAAGTCACAAATAGGTTGAACCTACCAGAAAGGTTGAAGATTCACCCACTTTCCATGTGAGTTTCTTGAAACCTTAATTTGTAGATGTAGATGATCCGGACAGGAACAAGTGAAAAAGGGCTCCTCCATCAGAACCTACACAGTGTGATGCTGAAATTGATAAGATCCTTGATCACCGGATTTTGGGCACAATTAAGAAGAATACAAAGACTGAATTCTTGATTCAATGGAAAGGCAAGAGAGCAGCTGGTTCAGTTTGGGAGAAAGCAAAGGACTTATGGCAATTTGATGCCAAAAATGATGACTACCTTAAAACTATCTCGATGAGGACATCAAGTTCAAGTGGTGCGGGTGGTATGTAAGACCCACAAACTACTTGATCTGACTACGTGTAGTCATGACAAGGACTTGGGCATATTGATGTCCCTTCTACTTCAAAATATAAGAAAAAGGGTGCGAAAAAAGGGGACTGGAAAAGGTAGAATATTAAAGACTATGCTAATGACAAAGGGAAGGCACCAATGAAGAAAGGAAATGAAAAAAACAATCCAAAAAACAAGGATGTCAATTTGAAAGGTTGTTGGACTTGTGGTGGGCATCATTTGGCTAAGTCTTGTCCAAACAAAGAAAGAGTGAATGCTTTGCTTGCCGGAAAGGTGAATCAGGATAAAGAAGGAGAGGAAGTACTGATTGCTTTGGTCAATCCGATAGGTTTGTCTTTCAATCACATTACATTGGTTAAAATGTTAAAGGGACTTCTAAGACTTCAAATCCACATGTTGTATTTATTCATTTGGAAATGAAGATAAAAGAAAAATGTCTGATGGCTATGGTTGATACATGGGTTACTCATATATTTATTGATGTTAATAGTGAGGAAAAAATTGGGGCTTAAGTTGACCAAAAGTCCCTCCTACATTAATATAGTGAATGCTAAGGCACAAGACATTGTGGGCATAACTTATGGAGTACCTACGTCGACTGGAAATTGGGTAGGAAAACATAACTTGATGGTGATGTCGTTAGGAGATTTTGAGATGATACTTGGTATTGATTTTCTGAGAAAATTCCACTTTGTTCCTTTTTCACATTTGGATGGAATAATGATTATGAATGGGAATAATGCTTGGTTGGAAAAGGGTGTTCATCCGTTTGGGAAAGCCAGTAATATTGCAAAGAAGAAGGATAGGGGAATGATGGTTTCTGCTATGTAAATTGACAAAGGACTGAAGAAGGGTACTGAAACTATAATTGTTGCTTTAGTCGAATTGAAACATGATGTAACAGTAAAGGTGCTTGATTGTGTGGCCGAGTTGTTGAAAAAATTAACTGATGTGATGCCACCTGAATTGCCAAAGACTTTACCGCCAAAGAGGGATATTGATCATTAAATTGAGTTGCTGCCAGATACGGTTGCTCCTGCATAGGCTCCTTATCGTATGGATCCTAAGGAATTGGCTGAATTGCGGAAATAGTTAAATGAATTGTTGGATGCTGGCTGATTCAACCATCTAAGGCTCCCTATGGTGCTCCTATTTTTTTTCAAAAGAAACAGGATGGGACGATGAGAATGTGTGTAGATTACAAGGCGCTGAACAAGGCAACTGTGAAGAACAAGTATCCGGTTTTGTTGGTGCAAGATTTGTTGCACTGGTTGAGCAAAGCGTGCTGGTTCATGAAACTTGATCTTAGGGCAGTTTAGTGGCAGGTTAGAATAGCAGAAGGTGATGAACCTAAGACAACATGTGTAACTAGATATGGTTTTTATGAATTCCTTGTAATTCCATTTGGTCTAACCAATGCCACGACTACCTTTTGCAACTTAATGAACAATGTACTATTTGACTATTTTGATGATTTTGTAGTCGTCTATCTTGATGATATTGTTATCTATAGTCGAACATTGAATGAACATGTCAATCACTTAAGTATGGTGTTGTTTAGTTTAGGAAACATACACTTTATGTTAAAATGAAAAAGTGTGAATTTGATCAACAAGAAATTAAATTTCTGAGGCATCTTGTTAGTAAAAACCATGTTTGAATGGATCCTAAGAATGTGTAGGTCATTGTTGACTGGCAAGCACCATGAAATGTTATGGATTTGCTGTCGTTTCGTGGGTTGGCTAATTGTTACAGAAAGTTCATTGCGGGTTATTAAAAAAGGGCAGCAGCTCTGATTGACTTGTTGAAGGAAGATGCTAAATGGATATGGGTTGTACGATGTGAAGAAGCTTTTCAAAATTTGAAGGAAGCTATTGCATCTAAACCCATATTAAAGTTGTCTGATTTTGAAGTGCCATTTGAAGTACTTACTTGGTGTGGGCATAAATACCGAAAAACCAAAAAATTGAATCGAACCTAAAAATTTCGGTTCTTCGATTTTGATTCTTCAGTGTTTCGGTTTTCTTTTTTTGGAACTTTGATTCTTCGGCTCGGAGTTCGGTGCAAGTGTCTTGAAACTAGGGTGCACCGAAGAATTGAAGTTTTATTTACTAAATTTAAAAATATTTAAATTATATTGCTTAATTAATAATAGTTATACACTTTTGAATTTTGACTCAACTATTTACATGACCATTTAAATTTTCAATTTTTAAATGACAACAAATATAATGTGAATAAAGTGTTGAACTATTGTTGTTTATGTACAATTGTACATTGTGAGACCTTATATTTTGGTTGTTCAAAAGTTCATCGTGGCTTCGTGCTTGCTAGGCTGCTTGCTGTCTTCTTTATTCATTCAGCATTAAGGTATGGGAGAAAGCCTTTTGGCTTTAGCAAAATGGTTGTCATCTATGCTAAGAAACGGAAACAAAAACAAATCCTTTAACATCTTTGCTAAAAAATCATATATGCTCTCTTTATTTTTATTAAATACATAATGAAACTCTTAAGACTTTATCATACTCCTTTATTATTTTTATACACACGAAAAACTGATTTAGTTTAAAAATACCAAACCAAATCGAACCAAAGTAGAAAAAACCGAACTGAACCGATCTAGTTTGGTATAAACTATGGTGCACACTTTTCTAAAGCTGAATATCGAAGAACCGAACGCCCACCCCTAATACATACGGATGCGTCTGATAAGGCTATTCGAGGCGTGTTAGTACAGGAAGGTCATCCTGTGGAATTCAAAAATCAAAATTTGAATGATGTTGAGCAAAGATATTAGACACATTAGAAGGAAATTGTTGTTGTTGTACATTGTCTACATGTTTGGAGAGTCTCGATTTGTAGTTCGAACTGATAATGTAGCCAATACATTTTTCAAAACACAAAAGAAATTGAGTCCAAAACAAGCAAGATGGCAGGAGCTTCTGACAGAATATGATTTCATGTGGGAACACAAGCCGGGGAAACACAACCAGGTTGTTGATGCATTGAGTCGGAAAGAAGTATTTGCTACAGTATATTCAATTTCAAAACTTGAGATTGATTTCTTTGATAGAATCATGTTGTGTGCTGCAAATGACTCATTATATGTTAAGTGGATGGTTCAACTGCAAAATAGCATAATAAGACGGTATTGGATTGAGGGCGATCTACTTTATTTTAAAGGGAGGAGAATCGTCGCACCAAATCAGGGTGGACTGCGCAAAGACTTGATGAAGGAAGCACATGATTCTTCTTGCGCTGGACATCCAGGTGTTAAAATAATGTTGGTTCTACTGTCTCGTGTTTATTTCTAGCCGAAGATGGAGGATGACATAGAAGCATACATGAAGACTTGTCATCTCTGTCAAGTAGACAAGACTAAACGTAAAGAATATACATCGGATTAGAAACAAAAATTAAACAACATATTTTTTAATAACCGGCGGGGAGAGTGAGATCGGCATATTAAGTTTGACGTGATCGAATGGAGAAGAAAGATAGGGTGACATGAAGGAGAAGGGTGAGGGTATTGGAAAATTGACATTTTTTAAAACTGAAATGCGCTTTATTCATTTTATATTTTATTTTATATTCATGTCAGCTTTGAGGGTGGTATTAAATTTACTTTTGAATAATATAGGTGTGTAATAGGACGCTCCAATAGTTTAAGAGTGTAATTAACCTTTCGATACATCTTTAGGAGTGAATTTATGTCTTTTTCCATTATTTCATTGATAGATTATATTATGATGCGTGGGACCCGGGCTTTTTTCTTAACCTTTGTTTCTCATTTGGAAAAAGAAATAGATTCCCCCTTGAATCTGTCCGAGAAATCAGTTACACGCTTAAACTATCATAGTGACATATATCACACCTTAACTACTCAAAAGTGAATTTATTACCACTTTGAGACGTGTAACACCACTCTCACATTATGTAGTGTATTACACTCGCTGCCACATTAGCACTACGTCAGCGTCATTTCATAAATTATAATTTTTTATTTTCGTTTCTTTATTAATTAATTTTTATTTTTTAACTATGTTTTACTCTAACGAATTCCTAATTAATTGTTTTAATTATCCAATAATTATATCTTCTACATCACTAGTACCACCCATTTTCAATTCTCATTTCATCGAAAAATCATATTCAACCCAAACTTCACTATTGATTTGTTCTGTACCATCACTATTATATCACCTTCAATTCTTCTTCACCACACTACAATATTTTAGGCCTACGCCCACATTAAATCTGGCAACGCTTGTAAAGTGTTGCCTAAAATATTTTTGGGAGCGCTTTAAAATATAGCCTAAACTTTTAACTTTTGCCAACAACAATATTGGCAACACTTGTAAAGTGTACCCTTCAATAATATAAACTACACTTTATGAGTGTTGTCATAGTATAAAATAAATGGCAACAATTATTAACATTTATTGCCACACTTTTAAAGTGTCTTATTTTATAATTGTAAAAACAACACATTAAAAATGTGGCCTAAAATTTATCACTAAAATTTTATATTCCCTCCACATTTTTAACTCTCCCTCCCATTTTTATTGGCCAAAAAATATAATTAATAAAAACTTTTCTCTTTCTCTTCTTTCCTATTTGATGAATACACACTTTACTCTTCTTTCCTTTCTAATGTTTTTTCTCTAGAATTGAAAATCGAAGAGAGGAAGTTGAAGATCGAAGTGACGAAGCTGAAGAAATGAAGAGCTGAGCTGATGAACTGAAGAGCTGAGCTGAAGATTCTCTTCTCCAGAACCCAAATTACTTGAAGAGATGACGAGCTGAAGCTAAAGATCTGGGATCGAAGAACTGAAAAACGGAAGCTGAAGACTCGATTTTGTCAAGCGTAAGTACTGATTTCGTACAGTCGAGTACTAAAAACAATCAATTTATTGAATTCTTATTTTTTGTTTAGAAGTAATTTTATTACTTTAGGGTTCTTAGAACTGAAATTCCTGTTTCCTTCCCCTCATTTGCGCTTTCCAGATAATCTTTGCTTGTTATAGTTTGTGGATTGTGAAATTGTAAGGGCAAAATAAGAAATGTGTAGATGTGGAATTATTGTGCATGTAATCATTTAGTTAAACAATTAACCTGTTTATAATTGCATAAAATCCAACATAACACAAACGTGACATTATTTGTATATTATTTTGCATATGGCTGCATATTTAATTATTATTTCATAATGTTATGCAGGTGATAATATGTCTACAATGTGGTGACAAAAGATTCTCTAACACATTTGTTTTTTTCTGTAAATTTTTTTGAAGTTGTTGTACATTAGTAAGTTAGATTGCTACCAAACATCATTTTTCAAGTTCAGACATTTTACCATCTCTTATTAGCTTTTTTTTTCATTTTTGGTTTTGATTTCTGCCCTACTATTTTGCATGAATGTCCAAAGAATTGCCTTATTAGTAGTAGGAACAAGTATATTAGTTGATGATGGAACTAAGATGAGATCCTGCGAAATCATTAGAATATGTTCTTGGTATTTATCAATTGTAATTATGAGAGGAAATTTTTAAAATGATTCTCTAAATCCTATTTTGGTGTGGACTAGTGAGATGCATATAGTCCTACTATTTAGATAAAGGTTACCTCAATATGAAAATTTCAGCAGACAGAAGTTTTTACAGAATCATTTTTTGTATAGCAATGTAAGTTAACAAGTTGACTCAACTATCTGTAAAAGACGGAATTCTTGACTTTTTTAAATGATTCTTACGATCTTAAACAATCTTCTATTACTTATAGTCCAGTTAATCTAAATGGACACTCTTATTACCAAAAGAAAAAAAAAGAAGTCTCAGCGAATGAAACAGTGTAGTTTGTCAATTTGTCTTTCCTTTCTCTACCAATTTTCTCTAACCCCAGCTTGACGCTACTTCCCATCTAGACATGTGTATACACCTCTTCCTTATCAAAATTCCTTTGTAGAGCTTCTTTTTCAATTTCAATGATGACGGCGCAAATGATAAAATTGCATGATGGTCTCCGGCTCCGAGTCTCAAAGTAAAGCTTACTAGAAGCATATTTCAGAATTAGTGTTGCCAACTTGACTAGAAGCATATTTATGAGACTTACCTGTTTTCAGTAGAGTGTCTTGGTATTGTTCGAGTTGAGTTTCCTCCTTTTCCATGCTTTATTTAGTGCGAATACCATCCTGATTTACATGTCTGCATTAGACTATCATTGGATATTTCTCTTGTTGCCCCTGTTTTTTAGCCTGAGATGGACTTGGGTTACTATCTGCTACAAATCTGTAAATATGTGATATGGTATACATCTGTAAATCTACAAATGCGCAATCGCAAATCTATGTAGTGACTTACAACTGCGTTGTGGTATCTGTAGTGGAAAAGATGTCATATGATTTAGGCTCTATTGATTTCTGGAGTTTTATTTGGGTAAAGTTGGCGATAAAGATTTTGTTTTTGCTGCCAGTGACATTCTAATAATGCTAACATATAAACAGTTGAAATATGTAAATCGTCAACCTTATAACTAAGCATACAAAAATAAAGCAAACTGATGTAAAGAGATTTGACTCACTTTTAAATAAATGATTTTCCAAACTTCCTTTTGACATGACTTCATAAAAAAGAAGTATGTTATCAAGCTCCGCAACATCCAATTAACCTCACTAGATTTTCATTGTTAAGCAGACCTAGTAGTTGGCCTCTGCCTGTAGGTTTTGTTATGTCGAGAGTAGGCGATGCCAAGTTTAACATTCCTTCGTCTTACAATAAAACCAAGTCTATGTTTAAGAATCTCGTCCTTGATTATGAGAAAAATGATGCATGTCCAAATGATTGCATGTTGTTTAGGAATGATCATAAGGATGATGAATTTTGTCATACTGGCGGAGCTTCACTGTATATTAAAAATCCTGAAGTTGATGGTGAGGTTGAGTCTTCTAAAAAATCAAATCGATTTTCAGTAAATACTTTAAGACACTTTCCATTAATTCCAAGACTCATAAGGTTATTTATGTGCTCAAAGACAGCAGATTCTTTGAGGTGGCATGATAAGGAGCGTTCAAAAGATGAAAGTGAAGGCATCCTACTGATGGTCAAGCATGGAAAGATTTTGATAGGTATCCAAATTTTGCTTTAGATTCTCGCAATGTGAGACTTGGATTAGTAAGTGATGGGTTCAATCCATTTCGAACCATGAGTATATCTCATAGCACATGGCCAGTTATGTTGATGGCGTATGATATGCCGCCTTGGATGTGCATAAAAATCTGAATATTCTATACTTTCTTTACTTATACCTGGACCACGATCACCTGAAAATGACATTGATATTTACTTACAACCATTGATAGATGAGTTAAAATTGTTGTGGGATTCTGGGGTTGAAACATATGATGCTTCAAGAAATCAAACTTTTCAAATTCGAACAGCTCCTATTTGGACAATCAGTGACTTTCCTGTGTATGCTATGTTGTCTAGATGGAGTACAAAAGGAAAGTTTGCTTGCCCTTGTTTAACTATAACACTAATTCTTGATATCTTAAGCATAGTCGGAAAATGTATGGATCATCGTGTTTTTCTACCCATGGATCATCCATAGAGATCTAACAAAAGATCTTTCAATGGAAAAGCTGAATTCAGGCCTCCTCCACTTTTATTAAAGGGAACTGATGTTACAAGATTTTGAAAATGTGGTTGGAAAGAAGATATAGAGATCAAATGGTGGCCCATGGAAAAAAGGTCAATTTGTTTTAATCACCTTATTGGCAGCACAACTTGTTACTCCACAACCTTGATGTAGGAAGAACACAGTTGATAGCTTTCTTGGAACTCTTTTGGATATTCCTGGGAAAACAAAAGATCATGCAAAAGCCCGATATGATTTGAAAGAGATGGGAATTAGAAAGAATCTTCATCCAAAAGATAATGGAGATAACAAGAGAACAAAGTTTGCAAAAGCTTGCTTCTCAATGAAAAATGGAGAGAAATCAATATTTGTGGAGTTTTAAAGACAGTCAAGCTACCTGATGGCAGTGCCTCCAATATATCTAGGTGTGTGCAACTGGATGAAAGGAAATTGTCTGGTTATAAGACTCATGATGCTCATTTCATGTTACATTACTTACTTCCAATACCCATTAAAAGCATCCTTCCAGATCATATGGCTATTGCTTTGATTCGTCTATATTGAAATCATTTTCTTACTTGTTGAAAGTGTAGAAAAACTCTTCCACAAGTTCTTTAACTTTACCACCACATATGGTGCAAAACTCATTTTTGATTGAGAAAAAACTCCATATTGATTGTTCATGCTACTATATTCACTGGTCTATCAGAGCTTCACGATGAAAAGGATAGCTCGTGAGGTTTAAAGCAGTGATAGATTAAAGTTGGAGATTCACGATGCTTCTGATCTTAAATAGATCAGTTGATGAAAGTCTTAAGAAGGCTGCCTCTGACATGTATGATTGCTTATTTTTAATTAGATTCCCCCCCCCCCCCACCCCACACACACACACACACAAAATTTCCGTCAAATCCTAAGCAATTTCTGCTCAAGAGCATATTTAACTACTTTTAACCTACACCCAAACATAGGTGATTTTTTTTTCTTGATCCTAGTTATTTAATTATCTTCAGTATTATGTTTTTGATAATTTTTATTGCAGAATTTGAAAATATGAAATGCTCTTGAAAGTTTTGGTTAAAGTTTAGCTATACGGATACTTGTACATTCTCTCTATTGGATATACTCTGAAATTGGAATTTCCATCATGTGTGCCTGTTGTTCTGCGTCTTCAGGATCTAGAGGACTTGGTGGTTCAGTTGATCTTCTAGATCATTATAAACTTAGGAAACATCTTGATTTTTATGCAAGTGATCATTATCATCCTCTATATCTGAGACAGAATACCATAGGAGTGTGGTGGGGGACAGAGAAATGAGGAGAGGTGCAGGGATGAAACTAGATCAGCTGTCGAAAAGCTCTTCCTATGAGGGACACAGATGTGTACACTTGCATTCCTTTTGTCTTGGATATACTCACGGATACTTTTCGGCTCAGAGAAACATCATCTATTGATCTTCCATTGGTAAGAATCACCTTATAATCCTTGATGTGCTCTCTTACTGTCTTGGGAGTGCTAAATCAAAGATCCGTTTGCTATACTAATACAGTCTTGTTGTAAAATTTCCCAGTAACTTATCTTTATGTTATTAATAGGCAGGTATAGGGTTACCTTCAGGTGCATCAAAGCATAAAAAGAACAAACACAAAGATAGGTCAAGGAAACTGGATCCTAACAGTTGAATTGATAAGGATCACACGCCAATCAGGGATAACAATAAGGAGAAAAATGGGAGTAAGAAGCAGAATCATGGTCCGGATATTTTTCTGAGACAAAAATTTATGCTTCTTGCCATGAATAGTTGCTTATATTTTGTCATGATCAATTCTACATCTAATATTTCAAATGGAACTCTTTCAGCATAAAATGTGAAGTATATTTCAAATGGAACTCTTTCAGCATAAAATGTGAAGTGTTGAAGTTGTTTTGCAGTTAGTGATACATAGGGTTGAGAATTGGGATATTTATTGCAATAATTTCTGCTATGGCTTTTTAGGTTAATAATGTTATCCTTTCATGAATCAGATAACTAACAGAGATATTTCTAGAGCTTAGATTTGTATTGAAGTCAAGTTGATATGTTTTTATTATTACTTTAGTGGTAACCATTGTTTATCTTGTGTTGTTGATTGCTCTTTCAGAAGCCAAGAACTTATGGCATTGGAGGTTTTTCTAGTATCCGCCATACCAGGAAACTGAGTTAAAATAGGTCAGCTTTCATCCGACCTGGTAATAACAGATTTTCTTTGTATAGAAAGTACACAATAATGTGTGGTAACTTAGCCACTTGGTTCCATGTGTGGGGAAGCTCTGTTTCATTATTTTCATTTCTGGCACATGAATAATAGCTTAGTAAGTTTTTAAACTCCTGAGGAATTTTTTTACATACTAGTAGTTTTAAGGGGTTATTTTATTGTTATTATATTTCTAGTTGTGGGACTCATGTTTTATTGTTTCTCTTTCCTATTCTCTCTCTTCGTTTTTCTAGATATATATTTTTTATTATTGGGAAATCAATTTAGTTACTATCTTAGTTTGTTTGGATGACAATAATAATTATTTATTTTAGCAGAACGTTTTTCAAATTATAATTTTTCTATAGTTATATAATTATAATTTTTCTATAGTTATATGCGAGAAAATGATTAAAATGGTCCTTGATGTATTGGGATTGGTTTATTTTGGTACTTAATATATTCTAGGTGATTGAAATAGTCCTTCATGTATGAAAAATATGCTCAATTTAGTTTTTTACCCTAAACTCAAAAATTTACCCAAAAATTGTTAAATATAATTGTGGGGTCCACATACCTTATAAAATTCATCATTTTTACCATCTTTATTCGTGCAAAGAAAAAGTTTCATGAATTAGAATACACCATTAATTTACATATCTGGCCAATATAAGTGGCCGACATTTTCTTTACACATGGCCTAATTATATTTGGCCGACACTAAAAACAAAATACTCACTATTTCTACTTTACATAATGGCCTCTTCTTTTTATTTCTGACCGACACACACTATTTTCTTCATGACTAAGAAGACAAAATACTTTTTACATAATTGGCCTTTTAATGGGGTTACCCTTTTTGTTGCTATCACTGCTGCTGATAACAATGTTGATTAGATGCTAGAAAAAATGGTGTCTAGAACTCTTGACGATTTATTTCACTGTTGTCATCACTGTTGCTAAGAATTCTTGATGATCCAAAATATATGGACAAGGTCTCCCCAATGGGATGTACATTTCAGTTTTCCCTACTTTCAGCAATGACAAAAACATTAGAATGTAGGACTCAAATTAAAGCTTAACCGCAAGTTCGCATTAAATGGTGACAGAATATAAAATTAGAGCTAGTGACCAAGAATTTAAACTTTTTCAAAACTCAATTGGTGCAAGAAAACCATCCAAGACTGAAACTGAAAAATCTCATATAGTGTCCAAACTGTTTTTGATTTTCAATGTAGTCTAGAGAATAGTAACTGACCTCAACTTTTGACCACCACTTTGCTAATTAAACAAGAGAAGTAAAAGAAAAACAATATTACTTCCCGACTGGAAAATAAAGGTCTCTTTAAAAGACACATCTACTCTAAAATGCTATTGTACAATACTTATGAGTTAACCACCAACAATTACTCCATTTATAAGTTGTCATATCTCCAACTGTATCTCAACCACAATGACCATTAAGAACATTTTGGCACTACATACACATAAAAGTTAAGATTCATAAAACACATTGAAGTGAACCCAGTCTAAACAAATTGACTAATAGATCAAATAAATTACATCGAAATTCAAACAGAAAAAAATGTATCCAAATCACGAAATAATAATACATCGATCATCATCTTAATCTTCATAAGTTGTACAGAAATGACAGATATAAGCATTTAACCCACTGTATAAATAATAGATTCAAGGACCGCAATGAACTTAGGCGTTTACATAGAGAAATCAAAATTCAGAGGTTTCTCAATATAAATATCAGATCAGTCATGAAAAAACTAAAGCTAATTTGAAGATTCAAAGATGAAGTTAGAAAGCTTGAAAATTAACCGTATCAATAATCCAACTACCACAAAGAAGACTTTCTGAGAAACTGAGAGGACTAATTTGAAAAAGTACTAAATACCTTTAGAAGAACCGGATCATGAGTTGACCCAAAAGATCGTAGAGGATTTTGGCCTTCTATAACTTGTGCACTACCCGCATCAATAGGTGAAGCGATGTTAGATCCAACACATCCTTACATACCGTAAACATTCAATCCAGGGTTATTTTGAAGCAATTGACAAAAAATGTCGCACTTCTTCTCTCATTTCTTCATTTTTTCTTTTAGAGAAGTGATTTCATTGACATGTTTCTGTTTTAGCTTGTCATATTACTCGTCTTTCTTCAAAGAACTTGTTGTCACTGATCTACCATAGCACCTAAGTCAACTAGGCTGCTCCTTTCCAAACACTATCGTAAAAGCATCATTTGTATTTTCCCAAGAATTTTGGCGATTCTGAAGTTCAGCCTATTGAATAAAATTGACATCCATATTAAATGCAAGAACTTCTAATTCTTTCTAGCTTAAATGAGTATATGGTTCATTAAGTTAACTTCAATTGACATTCCTTCCAAGCAAATTGTGCAGCGGCTCAAGCATATTAAAATAAAATTATAGCCCTCCTAACAATATAAAAGTTTTAAACCTGAATTAAATTCATTATTAATTCACTTTAAAAAACTTACTATTGCAACTTGATTATCAGCTTGAATTTCCTTTCCCGTCTTTGTACGAGTTCCAATAAACATTTCAGAATTTGATGGTTCCTCATTGTTTTCATTGGTTGCACGCTAAAAAATATATAAAAACTTAAAACGTATCAATAGAGTCTTTGTGGGTTAAAGGTAATGGAGACCACAATCCATCTATTTGAAGAATGCAAATGGATTAAAAGTGTATGATTGAAGATGCTAAGTATTACCAATGCCACTTGTATTCTTGCAAAACTAATAGGTCCCATTCGATACCTCCATTTTTGCTTTTTTCTGTTTTGAGAATTCATCTCACACATGGCCTATAATTAAATAAAAAGAGACAATTGAATTAATAAATAAAACAAAAATAGAATCATATGATCCAAAATAAGTTGAAAAGTAGAGATGCACTATTTTAGACTTACTTGAAAAGTTGGATTGTTCCAATACTCGATCGATTGACGGAATTCATCTTCTGGAATGTCACCAAGACGTTTTGCTAGCATATCCTCAACGGTACTATTTTAATCAAAAAATCTCTTTTTAATGTTTTGCTTGTGTCGCTTCCAAGCATCACGAAAACTAGTCATCACCCACTTCTTTACTTCTAATGGAATTAGGAATTTGGACTATGCAAAATAAAATATATGCAATCTCAAAAGTGATTGTTCTTACATTGATATATTCCCACATGCGCTTTTTAGTATCTTTTGGCACCGCATGCCAACTAGTGTACATCAAGTTGATGAATCTAGGATTCCTTAAAATTGTTCCTATAAATTTGGTAAATTTCGACACTATCTTACCAGTTGGACCCACTGCTTGTCCTATATCAAATGTCACCTCCTTTCTTTCTTCCAAGTTTCTTGCGTGAATATCCTTACATGTTGTTTTTCCTCAGACTTTTTCCGCCTCCAATTTTCCTAGTTTATGTAACAGTAAGGAAATAAGAAATTTCTTTTATACAAGTGATAAATATTATAACACTTAAAACATACCTTCTGTACTACAATCAATGTCAATTTCCTCGTCTATAGAACACTCATCCTCGTCGATTTCTTCTTGATCCACAAGATTATCAGCTACTGTGTGGTTATCAGTTTTTGTTTCATCACCTTTGTGTATCGCTTGTTTTTGTGGAAACTGATCAAGGCTAGTGGATGGTATGACTGACTTCATCTTTACCTGCTTGAAGTTTGGTAGATCAGTAATATCATGTTCTTTCCTTAGTTGTTGTTCTTCTAGAAATGATCAAGACTTGTGGCCGGTATGATCGACTTCATCTTCCCTTGTTTGAAGTTTAATAGATCTTGAATACCATGTCGTACCACTACATTACCAAGTCTTTCCCTAGTCACATACACTGAAACAGTAACACCTTTCTTGGAAGGCATGTGGAACCTAAAGTTGTGCATAGGAAGTTTAATTCTTTTTTGTTGAACGGACTCTCTAGATTGAAATAAGCTCTTTTTAGTTTGTCCTTTCACAATATCCAGATGTGAGGTACCAAGATCTTCCCCTAAAGATGGTCGAATTACTGATTTGTTCTCTATTGGGTTTTATTTGCCCTGATTTCTTACCATAAATAGGTTTTTTTCCTTTTAGGAAAAGGTTTTGGATTGACTAATCCTTTTTCTGGTAGGAAAAAGTTTAGGACTCTATAATTAGAGGAATGTTCCTTCTAACTTAATCAGCATTCATAATGTAGTCTTAAGGGATTTGAGAGTTTTGGTTAGGGGGAGAATTTATGAGTCACAAGCTTGATACGTTATCGCTTGTGTGAACCTCCCATGTATTCCGAGTGAATTGGTTGAGGTTGTTTCCTTCTGTATTTTGTACTCTCATATTTATAGTGGATTGCTCATCTCCTTTGTGGACGTAGGTCGATTGACCGAACCACGTTAAATCTTTGTGTCTTTTGGTATATTTCTCGTTGTCTTCTTGCTCGTAGTCTTTTGAGGTTTGCATTGCTAGCTTTCGCGTTTACACCTGCTTATTTTTGGTCCTAACAAGTGGTATCAAAGCCAGATTCAATGACGGAGTCATGTTCAATGGTTCGATAATCGATTATTGAACCAGGTTAGAAAGAGGTGTTCATCTTGGCGGTTGTAGTTCTAGTCACACCCTTTTTGACAGTAATGAAGATTTTGTTGGAGAAATTGTTTCAGAGAGGTTCTCTGTGTTGAGACACAAATTTTGCAAAGGAGATTATGGAGAGGAGAAGCAAGTTGTTGAGGATTCAGTAAAGAAGGTGGACAAATTTATTTTGTCAGAAATTCAGGTCAAGGGGGAGATTTGTTGGGTTTTATTTGCCCTGATTTCTTACCATAAATAGGTTTTCCTTTTAGGAAAAGGTTTTGGATTGACTAATCCTTTTTCTGGTATGAAAAGGTTTAGGACTCTATAAATAGAGGAGTGTTCCTGCTAACTTTATCAGCATTCACAATGTAGTCTTAAGGGCTTTGAGAGTTTTGGTTAGGGGGAGAATTTATGGGTCACAAGCTTGATACGTTATCGCTTGTGTGAACCTCCCATGTATTCCGAGTGAATTGGTTGAGGTTGTTTCCCTCTGTATTTTGTACTCTCATATTTATAGTGGATTGCTCATCTCCTCTGTGGACGTAAGTCGATTGACCGAACCACGTTAAATCTTTGTGTGTTTTTTGGTATATTTCTCGTTGTCTTCTTACTCGTAGTCTTTTGAGGTTT